TAAATAAAATTGAAAATTGTAATTCTCTCTTCTTCAATTTCTAAAATCCTGTCCTAGTAAACCATTAGAGTCATTATTTAAATTTGGGGCGGGGAGGATAGAGAGAAGATGTTTGAGCATCATTTCAGTAGGTTCAATGTATTGGGTCCTGTTAATGAGTTATGTTTTAATAGGTTTTTGCATTTGTGATGTATATGAGTAAATAAATAGTAGCATCTTAATTTTATATTAAAGCATTATAAGCTTATTAACTTCAACTACTGGAGGAAATTTTGTTTCTAGATTTTAAGCCTGAAAGACTATATATATATACACACACACACACACAAATATATATACATGTATATATACATACAAGACTATGTGTATATATATATATATACACACACACATACATATGTATGTAGATGTGTATAGATATGTGTGTGTTCGTGCATTCATTAACACTTAAGTTCTGCTTACTTAGTAGTTATGACTGTTGGTCATATTGTGGATACTGTGGATATTACTCTGAAATTAGAGGTAGATAAGTGAGTTAAATATTCAGAATGTGATTACATGAAACATTTGTGACATTCTTTTATAGTGAATTTACTGAAATCTGGTCAGCCTGCTATTCTATGTACTAGTAAAAGCAAAAACTATTGATGTAGAATATAATATTTGTGTTGAACTTGACTTCTTTTTTTGAAGAGAATAGTATTCTAGTTATTCTTTCATTTTATATAACCATCAAGTGCAAGTAATTTTTTTGTTTGTTTTTGAGATTACGAGGTATATGAAAGTGTTAGTAAATCAGTAAAAGGGAATGTAATTCAAGGGTGGATTGTGTTGAGTCCCTTTAATGAGTAAGTTTTAATAAGATTTTAAGGTTCTATTGTGGGTTGTTCTAGTCTGTTGGTAAAAGTACTCACATTTTGCCTTTAAAAACATATATCTCAACATTTTTTCAATGGTTCCCAATGCATATGTCCCTCCAGTGAACAAAATAAAACAAGGCAAAGAAACCAAAAATAAAATCCAATTTGCCAAATTTTTCAAACTTCCCATTTTCCCATGATTTGGGCAATTTTTCAAGTAGTAGTTTGTGTACCCATAGTGGTTTGTGTGTCTGCTGTAGTTCCTTTCCTCACAACTCTGACTACTATCTCACCAGGTTTTTTTTTTTTCTTTTCATTCTTGCCTCATTCCAAGGACAAATATTTCTGAGCAGGAGAAATTTCAAGTACTGAGAGCAATCAGTAAGCAAATAATAATAATATGACTTACTGAGCAAGTGTTATGCTGGTAGCTTATTTTATTCCTTATCCTCACGTCAACTCCACAAATTCAATCTCATTTTCCCCCAGTGCACACATGAAAACTTATTTCCTACCTATTCATTGTGTGCATTTGAGAGTATTGAAAAAGTACCAAGTGAAAAATAATCTCAGGAAGTAAATTTAGTATTTCTAGTCATCTAGAAGCAAATTTTTTAAATCTTGAAAATGTGAATTTATTTTAAATAATGATATCAGAAAATGAATGTCTGTGCTGTAGTCTTCCCAGAATAAGGGATACCTTTAAATATTACATCGTAGCTTAAATTTATTTTTTTTTCAAATAAGATACTATATAACTTCGTAGAAAAAGGATGGAAAAGAAAAATTTTTCTCTCCATCATTTCTATCATATCCCAAGTCTCCAAACTTTCTACAGTTCAATAAAGTGATAAGATTTCCTACCTTTCTCTATTTGAGAAACAGAAGATTTTTAGCATATAGAAATGGAATAATGTTACTTATTCTAGAATCTCATGTATTTCTATGATGTGTATGGATCCATGGTTGTATCTGATCTTCACTGTTTTATAGCTGATATTCATTCTTTGGTAACTTCAGAGTTAGTGTTTACAAAATATTATAGATTTTCACCCATTAGTTTTCTACCTCCAACACTGAGTTTACAATCTAGCTTCGCTTTTACATCACCATGTTTACCAAATTAGTATCCTGCAAGGCTGATTAGCCTCTTCTTTTCCAGGAATACTTGAAACAGATCTCTTCCTCTATCATATAAAAATTATCAGACTCAGGATTCTGTAGTTTCATCAGTTTAAAGACGTATTATTAAAAAGAAAAACCTCCAGAGGATATACCTTTGGTGATTAAAAGATTATTAAAGTATTTGTTTTTATCTGTTGTTCCCATGTTGAACAGTATGTATGTAAAGAGACACTGTGGAAAAATTAATATTTTAAGTTATTGTAATCATAACTACAAGTTTTTTACATTGACCTAGGGTAAAGTCATCATCAGCAGTTTTTGCTTCAATAACAAAAATTAATTGAGGGCTTGCTGGTTTCATACTGTAATATGACACCAATACAGTCATGCTTGATTTTCTACTTTTTATGGAAAAAATGCATTGCAAGTTTCAGTTGAAAAATATCCCTGGCCAAGTTTTGATGATGCCATAGATTTATTATTTGACAAACACAAATGGCATTAAAAATTTCAAATCAAGGTGACCCACAATCTTAATGACATTGATTTGTTACCTTAGAAACAAATTTTGACTATAAAACAGTAGATCCCAGAACTTTCCTGATAAAAAGAATTATTCACTTCTCAATCATTTTCAAAAGGTTTTCATGATAAATGGTGTAATGTAAAAGAAAATGAAAAAAAATCACAATTTATATTATTCTAGCTCATGTCTTTAAAAATCTAAGACATAAATCAATATGTATTTTTAGAACATGCTATTTTTTCATTATGCATTTAAAATTTATATATTGTATAGTTTGTCTGTTTATAAATCATAGGGTTTATTATTAACGGTTTTCTCTTTGCTGTCCTCAAACATGATTACTTGTAGCTTAGCACCCATGAGTAGCCTAGCAACAACTCAGCTCTCTAGCAAGTAAGAAATGAATACAAACAAAGTGTTATGGAAGAAAGAATTCAATTTCAAAATATTAGTGCATGTATATTACTATAAGTCAAGATGAAATCTTCTCATTTGGGGAAAATAGCATGACAATAGATATTGCATGTCTTAGTAAATAATATATTGCCGGTGAAATCCTGTCTCCTTCATTCAGGGAAGAAAAAAAAAAAAAGGTATCTATTTCAGACTGCACCGCAGTTGACTAGGTCACTGAAAATATGTCTTCCCTGGCAGCCTATTCATTACAAATTAGATGAGAAGAGGAGGTGGCAGTTTTCTCTACGTGGCAGATGAGCTCACTAGATGAGTTTCAACAGTAAACCTTTCTGACAGTGATGCATTCCAAATCTCTTAAATAGTTTTTAGGATACATGTTTTATTTTATTTACAAGGGATTGTGTGTATAGTGCTGCACTTTGAGATAGCATAGTTGATTTCTTGGAAATATTATAGAAAATTCCACTTGGTATATTACATGTTAAAGCTTTCATATTTTAATATGATTTTTTTGGTGAAATTTTATTTCCATATTCACTGTTTATCTTCACTGTCAAGTTAACTCTTTTGTTTTAGATATACATTCATAAAGAGTATCAGATGTTGGGAAAAACTTGCAACTTCATAGAATCATCATTTATAGATGAACAGACTCCAGTAGGGAGGGAAATAGATTTTGGTGAATGCCTTCCATTAAATAGCACAGCTTCTATTCTATGCCAGAAGCAGAAACACTTGGCCTTTCTCAATTTGACAGGTAGTTCATTGCACTTAGAGATCTTAAAGTCCAATGGAATAATGAGGTAAGGAACAGAAGGATATGAACTAACATTATTGTGCATTTAAAATGAATGCAGTGAATTATATAACTAGAAAGCATCTGTTCTCTGACAAAAACTTTCCCCCCAGATAGTTTGAGTTTAGGGTTTTCTTTGAAGATCTAATCTTAAATAATTGAATTGTTACTATAATCACAACTGGAATGTGAGCTCAACTTTCACATCTTTCTTTCCCCGTGCTCTCAGCCCTCTTTTCCGGGGGAATAGGAGAATAAATACCAACAGATCATGGGGCCCTTCCTGGTGGCACAACTGGTTAAAGCAAAACACTGTGAAGCTCACTGCAGCCACTTCAGTACAAGTTCGATACTGGCCATTGAGGTGACCCACATGGTACAGCAGATCTCTCTTGTCTCACCCACTGCTTTTCTCAGCAATGTACTTCATCTGTCTGCCTATTCTCCTCACACTCTTTGGTGAATCTTCTCACCACCCCTGCACCTCTGGCCTGTACCCCAGTTCTGTATGAATAAATAAATAAATCTTTAAAAAAAATACTAACAGATCATAAAGAGAAGACCAGATACTTAAAAAAGATAATCTGATTTGATCTATATTTGAAAACTTTGGTCATACACATGACTTGGATTGAAGTGAATCACCTTGATTAAATGAGAAAATAATCTTTATATGAGAAACATTCACCTGCTCTTGAAACCTCTAGCTACATTGAATAGTATGGTTGCATGAAATTTATACCCAAAGTATTATGATAGATTAACATGGTTTATTTGTGAATGCATACCCAAAAGTCATGACGGAACGACATGATCTATCTGTGCTATTTATCACAGTTGTAGTCACTGGTGGTTGTTTAGGAAAATGGAATTTTGACTGATATATACCACATTAACTTCTCTTTCCAACTTAGATGTCGCAATGGGTTTATACTGTTGAAAAAGTACCTCTCTTCATTTTGAGAGATTGAGTTCTTACAGAACAAAGATGATCTTTTTCATTATTTTATCCAGGATTTATTCTAGTACCCTATACACTATAATCTAGCAAAAAAACGATTAATCTTTTTCTTTTCAATTAACATGTGTAGGTATATAAGAAGACCTGTTAACAACCACTGCAATTGCATCAAAATAAACGACATACTATATGTTAAAAAGATATCAAATATTTAACTAACATATGTCCTCATAAAGGAAATAAAATTTAAAACTCTACTGCATTAACATGAAATTATCGCAGGTGATCTAAAAGGAACTGCACTTGTTTTTACAGGTTTGGTTACAAAAGTACGGCTACCTTCCACCAACTGACCCCAGAATGTCAGTGCTGCGCTCTGCAGAGACCATGCAGTCCGCTCTAGCTGCTATGCAGCAGTTCTACGGCATTAACATGACAGGAAAAGTGGACCGAAACACAATTGAGTAAGTAGTGACACCCACACTCTTCTTTTTGGGTTCTTAAAGACAGACTGAGGCATTCCCTTTTGGTGGAAAGGGTTAGAAGGCAGTACTGCAAGCTAGCCGCAGCAGCTTCAGTGTGAGTTGGATCCCAGCCCTGGAGGTGACCACATGGCATGGCAGACCTCTCCCGACCGGCCTGCTGCTCCCCTCAGCAGTGTACTTGTCGATCTACGTGTTCTGCTCCCCACTCTGACTCTGGTTAAGCCTCTCACCGCCCCTGAGCCTCTGGCTTGTACCCCAGTTCTGTATGCATAAAATAACAATAATTAAAAAAGACAGACTGAGTAGTCTGAAACACTTTAAATAAACCTATACAACCATTTCTCTTATATATGTTTCTTTAGTTTCACCTGAGTGTCCATAAAAAAATAAAATCCAAAATCAAGTTTGCTTACCTGACAATAGCAACACATTTTCAATATGGGAAAGAAAATATGAACAATGAGACTCAATGTAGATGTTCAGTTGAAGCCACTAAGTAAAAGGGTTCTCAGTGCTGTGTGGGAGATCCCCATGCAGCTGGAGAGTAGGGAGTGCTTTTGCTTCCCTGCTGAGTGATATCAGTCAGGAGCTGGCAGTTGACCAAAGCAGAAATATTGACATGGAGGAAAATGGGAAAACTATATAAATTGGAGTTTTTGGGAAGAAGGATATCAGAGACTCAGTTAACAGTTCATAGCCTCCCACTGTTCTCTAAATATGTTAACTCAAATAGGGATGTTTCACTCTAGAGTTTCTACTTTCAATTTTTTAATAACAAAGAACTTCTAGCTCATTCATTGATTATATTCTGATTTATACAACCATTATCTATTTAATTATTCATTTGACCAACCCTCTTTTTCTGGGCACTTTTATCTGTAAAAGGTGCTGTACAGAATCAGAAAAACAGTCTCTTCTGCAAAAGAACTTTGAGTTAACAGTGTAGTTAGACACAGTAAACATTTATTATAGGTCAGCGAAGTTCTATAACATTATGAAACATTATTTCTGGACTGCAAAGGAAAACGTGATTAATTCTTTCTGTGCAGGAAAAATTCATGTGTGCTTATTGAGTCCTTCAGACTCAAATAGTAAATCTATTTCATTTTTTAATACTATCATCAAACATCAATCCTCCACAATAGAGAAGAAAAGGATACATTTTTCTTCTATGATTTTAAATAAAGAAAATGAATAGGAAAGCCTAGGTGAAATCCAGAGTTGTAGATCACAGAACTTTTGAAGCTTAGTTGGGGAACTTTTATGATATCCTGCAGTGTGCCTCCGGGAACAACACCTTGTTTTTTTGTTTTGTTTTGTTTTTAAACTTTAAATACCAGAAAAAACTGGCATATGCACTTCATTTAGCAAAGTAAACTAATTGTATATCTATTTTTTAAAGTTATATTTTGCCTTAAAATGCTCACACCTGATGCTAATCATACAATTTCTATTTCATCAAGACAGGAATGCACATAGAAGATTGAACAACAAAGCATGTTGAAAAACTAAGTATAATACTTTTACTAGCACTTTTAAGAGATACATAAATGATACTGGTGTATATCTGGTAAAACAGGATCAAGAATTGATATAGTACAATTGATATAGTCCTTACTCTGTAAAAACAAGAAATTTGTTATCAATATTGAAAACAGAATTTTGGTATTTTGGGCTGGCTGCCCTCTGGTTATTTCATTTTGCTTTTAATAATGTAATACACAATAGTCATCTTAAATCATAATATACCACTTCTCCTAAATATAGTTTTAAATTAATAAGTGGTAACTTTCAGCGAGTCCTACATTCTGTTACTACATATAAAAAACATCCCATTTAAATTATACTCACTATCTCAATATTTTACAAAGTTCCTGGACAATATTATTATCCTCAAATGTAAAACTGTTATTGTCTGATTCATCTTCTTGGAAATTATGATACAATTTAATTACCTGGTAAAAGGTATTTGTTCATCAATAATGGAAGAGGAATATGTGCAGGATTTATTTGGATCCTTTATGTGGACAGTGGTCTGAACAGATTTTCTCTGGTAGGATAATGTAACAACTGCGGAGGTATAGGGTCTTTCTCTAGCATATAGTGGCTCAGATTCTAAACAAGAGAAATGTCACTGTATAGAAGTTTAAATAGAATTTCTATAAATTAAAGAAAAGAGGATCTACTGTATAGGCAGTTTTTTAAAATCAGTGTGTTTTATTCTTTTTATTTGAGGGACGGAGTGTTTCTTATTTTTTAGAATTTTGTTAATTTGGGGGGGATTTTACCCTTAAAATAGATTATACCTGATATAGCTGGTTGTTATTTCCATTTCCAGTGAAGCCACCAATGTCTCATTAAACCCTCATCGAACCTTTGAAACCTTTGGAACATGCGTACTCTGCCCTCTAGTCACTCTTGTTATAATTTGAGTTATAAACCCTGTGGCTTCAGATTTGCCTCCTGACTTTTTTCCCATTGATATGTGCTCAGTCTTGAGAAATTGTTGCTCAGGGTACTCAGTTAATATAGTGTCCTGTTTTTGTAAGTATAATCCCTGTACTAAGGCCACTTAAGCAACTATCTGTTCTTTTGTAATCTCACAAGGAATGCGTGGTAACAATCCAGGCTGAAATTGCACACTATCATTTTACAGTCAAATTATAAGATATGCGTTTTTATCTAAACCTTATTACATAAAATGTGGACTACAATTATAGGTGCAAAATTGGTCCTTCATATTAAAATCATGTTGTAGGTTTCATTTTCAGATGCCATAAAATTTTTATCTAATTTTAGACTCTCGTCAAGATCAATTGTTTTTAAATTGAATAATTATATCTTCCTTTGGTAGATAGACATTTGGTGCAAGCAATCTGTAATTCTTGGATAATTAAAAGTAATGATCCCTATATTTTTGTTGGATAAATGAACTATTTTCAACCAACAAATTTAGGTATTACCTTAAATGGCATATTATGCTGCTTTTATGTTAATTGAATTCAGATTGGGAGAGATAGTAATAAATACTTATCCCCCCACCCCAAAATGAGCTCATTATAATATGTTGGGAAGTTTTATATAAATTACGTTTGCTTGATAATTTTTTGTAAGCAATATCATTCTTAATAAATGGACTAATTGAAGTTTTAAATAAAAAGGTTATATTTAGCAAGGAGCAAAAAAAGATGGCAAAGCATTAATGAAAATTGTTTTCACTGAATTTAATGTTTTTGTAATGTTAATATTTTTAAAATTCAACTTACCTTATATGTAAACTAATATATGTATGAACAGTGTTATTCACTGAAGCACGTTTGCTGAAATATTTTTACTATGGTCTTTGTTCACTCTCTCCTCTTTCCACATATATATGCATATGTGTTAAATTATTTATACTTATTCACACATACCTATATATTAGATGGTCCGTGTAATCCTACTTTACTGTGCCCAGGAATTTAGCTTAATGAAAATGTAAGCCTAAATAAGTAGCTATTTTTTAAAGAACCTTAAGAAACTGCAGTGATATTTGAACTTTTTATTAACAGATTGAAATAGTTATTTGCTTACACAAAATACACAAATAATCACACACTTTTGCCTTAGTTATCAGTATGTCCAAATATTTTTATCCTTTTTGTTTAAACCCCCAGTTATAAGAATCTCAACATGACTATAAAAGATAGATTCAGTAATGGTTGCAGTTCATTTTATTTATTTCTAGGTATACCAGTGTTACTCAAAACACAAACATACTAACATAGGATGATTCAGTTCTCATTTTTTTATTATAAAGGATGGTTGATAGCTAAGCAGGCAGGGGTCTTCTATTCTGAAGGTGGAAGTTTAAGAGCTGACACTAACTTAGCTTTGTTCATATTGCAGGTCATGGACGATTAATATATGTATTTTCTATGTTCAGGTTTTTAACTGCATTAACGTTTCAATTTCAGCCATGTGTGGCCTTGACAGAAGCTGATGAGTTGATAGTAAAAATAAACTTGGGACCAGAGTGAGTTGTCACCTGCCAATATTTTAAATTAGTTTATTTTTAAAGTCTTGTCCGTGGCAATGGGACTTCCTCTGCTAATGCAAACAAAATATAAGGTTTTGTATGAAATACCAATAATGACAATTTAAAAAGCTCTCCAAGGATTTTTTGAGGACAACTATAGTTAGTAGATATCACTCCTAATTTTCATTAGAACTTGGAAAGCTTGGAGGATGTAAACTGTTTAATATATATTACTCTAATGAATATTTCTCTAAGATTACTAACTCATAAAGCAAAAGATAGTTTTGTAAAGTGTTTTTTCATGATAAGTGTTGGTGTATATATGCAGGGCATTATATGATAAAAATCTAACTGTAAAGAGTTGTACTTCCACGATAGCCTTCCTTCCAGCAGCCATCTCTCATCAGGGTATGGGCTACATCTTGAAGGTACCTCTTGGAGTCAGATAGGGGGTGAACCATACGTTTGTCTTCAATACCTAAGTTAAATTTTTAAGTATATTTTACTGAAGCTAATGGTTAATTTCCTGTACAGTGATTCTTAGCATTACTGCAAATGTATTTAGAAGCCAGTAGCTGCTTTATCTACATAAGACAGAGGATAGTGTATTTATGAATATCTTTGTTATCAAAACACTAGAAATATCTCTGTACTGACTAATGAAATGCTTGATGTTAACATACAGATGAAGGGAACAGAAAACATGTTGGTTAGAATGTTGATATCTAAATGCTACTGCTACCTGTATTAATGCAGTGATTTCCTGATAATTGTAAAGTAATTCCTACTATTAAATTAATCAGAATAGCAGTTGCTGCCAGGCAACTATTTTAAGTGTTTCACATGATTTATCTAATTTAATCCTTAACAATAATAACAATACTATTATCAATATCTTCTATATAAGGAAATGGAGGAATAAAATGAAACAATAGTCAGACTAATGCCACAGGTTCGTGAGTCAGTGGACTGAGGTGAGAGTTCTACAACCTAGTATTCCTGCTTTCAGTTTTACGGTATAATTCCTCCTAAGAGTACTGGCCTTAGATAGTTTTCCTTTTATAAATTAACATTAATGAACTGTCCAGTTAGTTCGCAAGTGCTCTGGATCTACCTCTTGGCCTGGAGATTAAGTCTCAGTGCTATCACCATTGTGGCCTGAGTTTGAGTCCTGCCCAGGGCACTGACCCCTGTCTCACCCACTGCTCCCCTCACCAGAGTATTTTAGTAAGTCCACCTGTTCTTCTCCCAACTCTGTCTCAGTTGAGTATACTTACCCCTCCCCCACCCCTCTGACTTATACCTCTGTTCTTCTACACATAGTTTTTCAATAATTTTCAAGCACCCTGGATTCTTAATTATTGCAAAACGCCCTCTTTCTCGCTCACCTCCTCCTGCAGTGCCTATTCCCCATGTCAGAGTTTCCTCTGAAACATCAACTTAAGTTCCTGACAGTGTGTCAGTAAAGAAGCAATACACATATGTGAGCTTTATGTTGGCCTGAAAAATAAATATGTTTCATCAATGATACTTTGGCAAGAAAACATTATCTGAAAATAGCACACACACAAGTCAAGCCCTGTTTTGTTTCATGTGATATAGTTAGTACCTTTCAGGAGACCACTTTACTTGTGAATGCTGTTTTGCATCTTTATATACAGGTGTATTTGGAATTTATCAAAATGATAACTTGAATGTTTTCCATTTTGTTGCAAAATAAATTCATATTGATCTAATGGCAACTAGAAATGAATCCTAGAAGTGAATCTGCTTGAATTGGAATTAACATATCAATTTTGCATTTAATATAAGCCAACATTTTATTCTTTGGTGAGTCCTGTTAATCCTTGATTGGTTCTATATCCATTACGAATTTGTGAAACTATATAAGAAAGAAGCTTACTGCTTAGGAAATTAATGAGTATTTTAAATGTTTGGAATCACAGACATTGCCTGCGATCAACTTAGCTCAGATATTATGTGTCATATTCAGTGTCAGGATTTTCTTTATCACATTTTTAAGGTTTTATATATTTTGATAAATGTACCTACTAATATCTCTATGCTAGAATATTTGAATTCAAATATTGGTGAGGTTAATAGAAAGTTTGCCATTTGCCCAATACTCATTGAGGTTACTTTGTATTAAGTTACTAGTTGATATTAGATATTCCTCTTTAATATTTTCTTACATTTAATCCTATTTCTTTATGATTTTTTTTAAATATAAATGTATCCACAAAGTGTCCATTCAATAACATTTTTTTTCAAGGCACAGAGAGAAAATGAGTTACAAAATTCTCAAAAGTCATAGGATAGTGGAGGAATCAGTATGTGTAAAAAACAAAAATATATATAGACTTAGTCCATTTGCTTTATGTTTCTTATTGGAGACTTTACTGTACACTGACCCTGTCCTATGCTCTATGGCCAGACTTACAGGTCTGTACAAGACAAAAAAAAAAAAAAAAAGACATATACAAATTGAAAAACACAGTATATGTGCCATGGTAAACTATATCTGTATGAGCTGAGTAAGGAAGAATGCATAGTATTCCAGACAGGTGACAGGATAAAAAGAAGAAAGAGGTTTGATTCTGTAATAACTTGACAACACCTTAGAAAATAGGTGATCAGTGGTCTCTGTAGCTCAGCATACCTGAGTCAGGTTTCCTATATGATCCTTTTATTCCTAGAACATGTACAGAGCATGTGTTTTGAGAAGATATATTGTTAGGAATAAGAAGGGATGGGATGGTGAAAGTGAAGGATACACAAAAAATTTTGAGAGCAGAAAATATATCCTGACTGGTTAGAAGTAAGAGAGCAGTGGATGCTGTTTCTAGGATAGCTGATTTGGTCATTAGCTGAATTAGAACTTTCATCTGTGATGAAACTTGAAATAAACTGGTGCAGATTTGGGGTAGAAAATTCATATTTTTGTTTTACTACACATGAAATGAGAGATGATGATATCCAGATGGCAACTTAAGAGCACTTAATCCATGATATTATCATTTTTTGTTATAGGTGTTTTGTCTGTAGACTGTGAGCTTAACAAATAACTCTTGCTTTGTTTTATCTTTTTATACACTCATAAAATATATCTCTTACTGTGTTATAAAAGTTCAAAAATATTGAAGTGTGAATGGATCAGGATGGAATGAGTAAGAAAATGAACAAATAATTGTAATATAAGAAAAAAAGAGGAATTAGGAAAAGCATAAGAAATATAAGGAGAATTAGTTGGTGTCTTTCAGCTAGAAATCTAATGTTCATCTCCAAAGACCCTACCCTTTAGAAAATGAAATTCTTCACTGAGAAAATGTTTACTGGATTCAGTGTATGTATGATTTAAGATGAAATTTATATAAAATTGATTAAACTTAATTAATGTTAAACTTTTCAGTTACTTCCTTCAACCTGTTATTTTTTAAAAACACTTAGATATTAACTATAGATAAGCAAAACAGAGTCAGAACAAACCAAACCAAAAGCAAAACCAGGAGATCCCACTATAAATTGAGATTACCAAAAAGGGGGAGGGCCGGTGAAAAATAGAGATGGGAGGAGAGGAGACCCAATTAATACGGGCTATGGGTGCCTTGATGGGAGGTATGTTATGTTAACATACACACAAAAAGATAGGATTCTCATATGTGAATTATATGCAGTGTTATAGTTCAGTGAATTATATAGTGTTATAAATCAGTGTTACCTGATTTAAATAAATAAATTATATTCATATAGAGTGAAAATATGTTTTAACCTGATAACAGCTAATCTGTTTTGTCAAATTTTATCCAATTCTCATTTAAAAATTATTTTCCTTCCAAGTTGTTTATTTAATATTTTCTTTAGCTAAGTGTGAATGTAACTACCTCCCATGAATGGTATATTTATTCATAGCTAATAATAAGATATTGTTTATTTTCCCAGTACTTTCAATGAGGTGTAAGGATAAGTTTGTTGAGAATATAATTAATTAAATACTCCCAATAAAAGTCACTTCAATCATCATTAATGTTCATTATTGGCTAGTTAAATAAATACCAAGCTTTTCTTTAGTATATATACCAGGCTTTTATAACATATTATAAAATATAAGTTTTCATTAAAAAATGCAGTATCCCTATCCATTGAATTTCTTTTATATGCCAGGAGTTGTATAAAGTCCTGAAGAGAAACAGATCTCCTGCCCTTAGGTGTTTTACAGTCAAGTGAAATATTTGTCAATTTTAGTGGCTTAGGTATGGCTTGGGAGTTAAACATGAAAGTTCTCCAGTCTCAACTGCAGAGAGTTCAGTTCCATAGCAGTGGCTAGTCTCCTTTGAATTTATTTGTAAGATATGTAATTTAAAGTCTTTAAGGAAGTTTAAAGTCTTTAAGAAAGGAAAAGGAAGATTTTCTGAAGCATTCCATGTATTAGAATCTGGGATGAATTTTGTTAATTCTGACAACTACAATGTCTACATTATTAGTAGATGTAGCATAAAACAGGAGAATCTTGTCATGCTTATAGAAAAGTGTCATCTTTCATTAAAAAGTAAAAGTCATTATTTCATTGTTGCATGAAGTTCTTGTGTTTGTAAAGCTTATTGGCTGACTTACCTATGTAACATAAACTAACTCATTCATTTTCACAAAATGTACTTCTTTAGATAATCTTTGCCACAATTATTTTTCATGTAAAGAGTTAGAAATTGTTAAGTATTTGGTAAAGAGCAAAAAGTGATTATTTTCTTGTTTCCTCTTTATGCAGAATGTAGCAACATGGAGATTCTGATTTGGCTTTGTAATTGTAAGATTAAATGTGCTAATGAACAGTGAAACCATTTTATCAGTCACAAAAGAAAAACTACTCAAAATCATGAAAATTCTACTTAAAAAAGAAACAAGATCATAGGAAAAATAGAATAATGGCAAATGCAAGGCTCTAGAAAATATGTTAAAAATTTCACCTGCGTGTTAAGAATTAATGAATCAAAAAGCAGCTTTTTACTCTCAGTGTAAATATGTTAAAACTTGTATGTGTGAAGCTAGCCCTCATAGTCAGAAAAAACCGATTGAGCATTGAATATGGTTTTTATTAAATATTCAAACCAAATGGCTATTACTTGGAAATTAGGGAAATGTTCAAAATGAAAAGTAGAAAAAGACAAATGTAATTTATACAAAAAATTTGTTTGTGCGCTAGTAAGAAGAAAATAACAAATACCCTCTTGACTCAAAGAATTTAATTAGATATTTCTTTAATTGTAAATGTTAAAACTGGAAGAGAACTTACTGACAGACTACTTATAAATGCCAGTTTATGAATGAGACTAGGGATTAATGTTTTACCTAAGATACATATTTTGCTAACAACAGATTTTTGGTAGAAGTTTAAGTACATCAGTCAACTCTTAGCTCAAAATATATCAGAGAAAAATTATCTAAAGGATCTGAATTGTAAGCTAGTAAGTCTTGATAACTGAGGAAAGAAATATGCTTTCCATTTAGACTCAGATTTTTTAAAAAATTGACAATATTCAAAATGGCTTCCTGTTTCCATATAACTGTCATAAATTAACATCTCAATTGATTTCTTTTTGAAATTAATGAAGGTTGTTGGTAAATAACTTTAAAATACTGCCTTTTGCAGCTGGATGAAGAAGCCTCGATGTGGTGTACCTGATCAGACAAGAGGTAGCTCCAAATTTAATATTCGTCGAAAGCGGTATGCATTAACAGGACAGAAGTGGCAGCACAAACACATCACTTACAGGTATAACTAATGATGGATTTTTTTTTTCCATTTCATCACAACTATTTATTTTGACATTTAATGCACATTGATTACATGGTCATACAGTAATACAGTGTAAACAAAAGCAATTTAAAACTTAATTCAGAGAACAAATTGTCCATTTGGGAGCCTTATAGACATCCCTTATATTCCTGGTCTCTTTCGTAAACTAGATCTTCCAGTATCTTGAGTGAATTCAATATTCTATGAGACTTTCATATTATTAATCTAACACATTATGTTATTTAATAAATATTGATAATCTACAAAATAATCAAATAATAAAGCATATAAATAATTAGGACTTAAAATGTTTTTTTAATCTGCTGGGGTTTTTTGCATTGATTGTTGAAACTGCTAAACTGTTTTATTGGTTCAATTAGTTTTTCTGTGGATATTTTAGGATCCTCTATACATATTATTGTATCATCTGCATATAATGATAGTTTAACTTCTTCTTTCCCTATTAATTCCTTTTATGTCCTTCTCTCACCTAATTGCCCTAATTAAAACTAAAGCTGACCATAGAACTGAGGAATGGGAAAGGAGAGAGCAGGAGGGGGAGAAAAACAGGAAGGATAAATACCAGGGGATATTGTGGTGGTTCACAGGTGATGTGATGGTGGGAGAACTATGGGGACAACAAACATGTAAGCGATAAATAAATTAAAAATATAAAATGAACAATAATCTGGTGACTCATGGCAATTTGGTGACTAAGGTCCCCATGGTAGCTGCTGCTGATAGTGATACTACTACTGCTACTACTACTTCTACTACTACAACTCATGTGCTGAAAAATAATGTTTCTAATTCTATTAATGTACTTTAATATAAGTCCAAGCATTTCAGTATCTTCTCAGGATCATCCTTTCTTGTTTTGCCTTCAATAAAGTTTGCCTAAGGAATGCAAATGTCTTCCAATCCAGAGTGAGATCGTGGATATGTTCACATTTATTCACTTTTACATTGAATACCGATTTACTGAATCCCAGTTGGAATAACAAACAGTGTAGTCACTGAGGGTAAAAGCAATAAGTAAAGCATGGGGTGTCTATATCTTGGAATTTAAGTTATGTAGAGATGTTGAGTAATCATAAATATGCTATGAAAGAGCACGATGCAAAATAAATATAAGTCAGGGATGTCAATCCACTCTGGAAAAAGAGAAAAGATCTCTAAAGAAATAGTGTTTCAACTAAAAACCACAGAAAGAGAAAGATCTTAAACCAAGAAGAAGAAGAAGAAGGTTGTTTAGGGAAGGGGTAGAATGTCAGGAACCATCTCTATTAGATTAATGATTAAAAAGAAGATAGAAACTAATCATCTTATTCTTTTTATAAACTTGTAATGTTTAAAAATAAACATTAAAACAATATATTGATTTTCTATATAGACATCTGAAATATGACATCTGAACTTTTTTTTGGCATATTTTGGGCATACTTTTTAGCATTATTTTGCATTTTGATGATAATCTTCCCAAATCACATGTTCCTAGGTTATTCTCTTATGTAATTTATATCAGTTATTTCTGTAGTGAACAAAAATCAAAGACAAAGCAATTTTGGCTAAACCCATGAAGTTTTTATTCACAATCACATTTGTTCACTAGGGTTTTTATCTAACAAACTTATTTTATCATCTTTGTGATCCACACTTCCAAAATAGTGTTTTAAAATATTATGCCAACAAATTAGTATGGACTAATACTTAGATCTTCCTAATAACTGAAATTCCCAAGTGTCTTGGTGATTGAGCCTTCTTTTTTTTTTTTCTTTTGAAATTTATTTTTTTTAATTTTTAAAATAAATATAAATTTATTTTTACATCATTTTGTACATTTTTTTAATCTCAATTGTAATCCCCGTGGGTTTCTCATCACTTATTCACCCATGTTGTGCCATCATCATAGTGGAGCCTTCTTTTTATAAGTAAATTCTTCATCAGTAATGCTTTGTAGACAAAAAAAAAAAAATTAGACTGTACATATAGGCTTTAATAAAGAATGATAGTCAAATGCAGAATAAATTTAGTAAACCAGTTTTCTTATTGAGGTAAAACTTTAAGAGAAACTTAAAGTGTATTAAATAAAAGAAATTAAAATATATCTTGAGTTGAAACAAAACAAAATTATAAAAGCCAAAAGTTAAGCAAAATTAGGAAACCTAAATGTATGTGAGCATACAGATCATGTTAGAGATTGCAAACTAATAGAGCATATGGAACTAATAGAGAATATGAAAGGAGAAGCATCATATAATAACAAGGAAATCTATCATTCATATTTGATAAGTGGGAGTCAAAGTAAGCACTGCTTTCATGAAAAAAAAATGGTATCTATAATTTCAAAGCTGTAGCTTCAATATCTATTTCACATAAAATAAGTGTGATGTGTTGGAGAATATCCTTAAGGAGCGATAACAAAAAGAAGTAACTGGTATATTGCACAACTACTTCTAATGATAAAAAAAAATAAAGATACAAGGAATAAAACTATCATCTTTAGGATATCATTTATTTTTTCCATATAGAAAACCTAGAATAAGCTCTAGATAATTTTTAAACATTAAAAGGATGTTACCAGCTTTTTAAAAATAATATATTTTATTTTTAGAGTAGTTTTACTTTCACAGAAAACTTGAGCATATAATATCAGTTCCCATATGCCTACCTAGCTTAGTCCACCCCCCACCCAGTTTGTCCTTTTATTAAGATCCTGCTTTAGTGTGGTGTATTTGTTACAATTAGTGAGCCAATGTGGTTATGCTATCACTAACTAAAGTCCATAGTATATGCTAGAATGCAATGGAACGCTTTATAGTACAATTTTATGAATTTTGAAAAATATATAATGTCATATATCCACCATTACAGTGTTATGCAAAATAGCTATAATGCCCTAAATATCAGCTGTTATATTTATTCATCCCTCTTCTCCCCTCAAATTTCTAATTGTTTTACTGTCTCTATAGTTTACCTTTTCTAGAATGTCAAGTATTGATACTTGGAACCATCTTTTCCAGACTTTCTTTCTCACTCAGTAATGTTCATATATTGTTCTTCCATGTCTTTTCATGATGTAATAGGTCACTGACATTTATTATTGAATACTTATTCTCTCTATAGATGTACCACAGTTACTTATTGAGGACTTCTTTGCTTTCAATTAAGGGCAATTTTAAATAAAGCTGGTATAAACAGGAGTGTGACTGCTGATCATTTGGTAAGAGTTTGGTGAGCTTTGTAAGAAACTGCCTCATCAAAATGGCACTGTCGTTTTGCTTTACCCACAGTAATGAGTGAGCATTCCCATTGCCCCACCTCCTCACAAGCATTTGGTGGTGTGAGTGTTCTGGATTATAGCCATTATTCTACTAGGTGTGTGGTAGTACCTCAGTGTTGCTTTAGTTTGAAATTCCCTAATAACAAATGATGTTGAGTATCCTTTCATATGCTTATTTGCACCCTCTATGTCTTTGATGAAATATTTGTTCAACTCTTTGGCCAAAGATGAATGAAGTATTCTATAATATCAGTTAGGCCAGATCGACTACTGGTTATGATGCTCCTTTTGTCTCTTTAAATTGTGTTTTATGTTGTTTTAATTACCAGTTTTTTAATTATTCTTGAAAGTTGGACATAATGTATTAAGTCATAGGAATTAAAATAACTGATCTTGCATGTGATATTCTATATTTATCTGGTTAAGATTTTGACTGTGTTTACTGTTTCCTTAAGTGAAGTTTGTAGGCTTTGATTTCCTCTGGTGTCCTTTGGTGCCCCTGTTGTTTCTGAGTATCTTTAGCAGCTCCTTCTAAATATAGTTGTGTCTTACAGCTTTCTTATTTGTAATCACTATTGGTGTTTATGAGTTATTACAGAAGGGAAGCAATCTATAATTCTCTATGAAATTTCACTTTTTTTAAGTAGGTTCTACTTTCTGGTCTTGAATTGCAGAATAGCATCTTAACCTTCCCCCCCCCCCTCCCTTATATGTGTCGGGAAGCCTAGGGGACAGAATTGTCTAATTGTCTTTCACCTAGAAGGCTCTAGTAAAATAGTTTTCCTTTGAACCATTTGTTATGGAAAACAGAATGCTCTGGGCACATTTCAAAATTGGTGCTTTTCTCTTCTCTGAACAGGAAGCACAAGGGGATTTTTCCACTATCCTGAGAACCACAACCAGTCTAGGCTCCTGTTTAAGTGTTCCTTCCAGTTTCTTGGATTCAAGGACTTGTGCTCACGATAAGCTATGAGTCTTTGTATTCATCTATCTGTCCAATTTTATGGTGGCAGTTTTCCTTGTGGCTATAAGCCTTCCATGAAGCCTAGAATTTATTTTCAGTTTGCTCACATCTTTGTCTTGCCATGAACTGGAGAGTGGTGATTTCAAGCTCTTTATATGCTGCAGCAGAAGCTTGAAGAGTCTGTAATCAGCTTTTAAATATATAATGAATATAAAATATACACACAAATTATAATTTGTATATATGCACCATGTAAAATAGACACAAAAATATGAGTTCCTAGGTCAGCCCTTTATAAAGAAAATTAAGATCCTGTATTAAGAGAAATAAGATTAAGAATAAATTAAAGATGTATTTTGAAATGAATACAGTGAAGGCTTAAATTTTTCACAAATTCATTGTAATTTTAATGCAAATACCAACAAGATTTTTTTTATTATGTAACAAAGTCAAAATCTTTGAGAAATAGTTATAGCTCCAAGATTAGTGAAAATATTCCCAACTTTGAGATAAATTAGCCCAGAGATAGAGACTCCAGTAGCACAAATCAGAAATCAAGAACTAGAGCTATATGCATATATAAAAAGATTGGTTAATGCAAAGCAAGCATTTTTTAGGTCAGTGGGAAAAGGTGGGTCTTTACTGTGATTATTGATTTTCCATATGGAAAATAAATTCTTTCCTCATACCAGGTGAAAAACCAACCCTAATTTAGGATTACAGTTTATA